CCACGTTCTACAATTAGAACGAGTGACAACGTACTAACGACGAGCTGGACGTACTACGAACGGAACCGTCGTACTTCAATTCTACTAGGGACGTTTTAACAACGAGTTGAACTGTCTGAGGACGTGTTGAGAACGAGGTAGAACTAATTGCAAACGGGTTTAAACTGATTAAGAACGTATTTAACACTGCTTATGAACGAGTTAGCAAAAATATAGCTATCACACCAAACAAGTTGCCACTGCGTTCTTCAAAACTGGTTTTAAACTGTGTGCGAACGGAATGAACGTAGCTGCAACTTTCTAAGGTCTATTTACGAACTTTATGAACGTTCTCAGTGGGGAATGTGATTTTAGAATTTTGAATCGATTCAAAATTCGATGGCGACCATACCGTTCTGTAATCAGGTCATGTTGACCTTCTAGACTAAGGGACGCGTTCTACTACGTTGCACACCGACGTGGTGCGACCTGAACGAACTGCGAACGAGATGGACGTATTGAAGACTGTTTAAGAACGAAGAAGCTAATTATTTCAGACATATTTCCCGACCACAGCCAGATTGAGCCCGTTTTACGACGTTTTCGTAGGACTGGCAAGAACGGGTAAGAACTAGTTTGGTGTGATAGGGGGGTTAAGGATCTCTTTCATATTTTGTACAACTTTCTAGCGATACCCTTAGGCTTCTTTATAGAAATTTTAACATATTTGATTCATTAATTGCTGAGAAAATACTTATCAAAAAGTGTAACGCTTTTTGGGGACACAATGTTTACTCAAACATGCTTTCCTATTTAGGGATAGAGCTTTCTGATTCATTGATAATTAGTCCTCACAAAGGACTGAATCTTCCTTGGGGTTCATGCGCATTATTGGTGAAACACGGGGCCTACCTGCATGCTGCAATGACCCTAGATTTTCAAGGGAACTGCCTCGCAGACACTCAGCATGATCATTATAGCCCTAGTGAATATTCCCTGGAGTTGAGCCGTCCATTCCGTGCTCTTCCACTATGGCTAACCCTGCGATTATTAGGGACTTCTCATTTTGAGGATTGCATTAGAGAAAAGATGGCGCTAACAATGTTCTGTTACGATGAATTGAAGAAAATTCCAGATATTGAAGTTGGACCTGTGCCAGAACTCTCAACTGTTGCATTCCAGTTGAAGTCTAAGGATAATAAAAAACTTGATGAACTACTGACAAAAATAAATCAAGATGGTCGATTATTTTTGTCCTCTACCAAAATTGATGGGGAATTGTACATTAGGCTGAGTTTTAACTCAATGTCATCTCATACAACTCATGCTAAAAAAGCTTTGCAAATCATCAAAGAATTTCTGATGAAGATCCTGATATAAAACTTTTAATTAGATGTACAAGGGGTGAAGTGAGTATGATCGCAATATGCATGGGATCAATCACTCATTCATGAACATTAACTTAAAGAGCCAGTTTATTAGTTATGTAATTTAAGAGACATATTTAGCCCCTCTTTCTGCAATTTTAAAGCTTGAAAAAAGACTCTATGTAGAAAGTGAATAATTGCATTTTGTAAATTCCAGTTTATTGAAGTCATCTTGAAGATAAAATAAGGGCCGTCGGAGCCACAAAAAGGTGTTCACTGTCGGTAGATGTTCACAACAGAGAGGGAATTTTATATATGAATCAATGTAAAATGTGTTTTTAAGTGTTCATTAAGCACAGCGTGAGGTATTCAATAAGACATGCTTGTGAGGAATTACAGTATCAATTTCTAAGTTCTAATCATATTTTGAAACCGGAACTACCACGCGTGACTACATACTTGCCAAATATTGGAAGGATAAAAGGAACCTATTTTCGTTTCCAGTTCCTCCCCAGTGCTTTACCATGACTTGCCTGTGTCTCGCTATAAAGTGTTACATAACGTGGGCTATTAGTAAAAACTCTCCGAATGTAATGTAGTTCAAATGCGTGTACCATTTGTAACTTTTAAATTGTATTTATTGTATTTCTTGGTCTAAAATAAAATACTAGGTTACTATATGATTAAGACATTATATGTCTGTTTTACCTCAAATTGACTTTTGAGATGGACAATATGAAACACCCTGTACTGGAGGGAGAGTTTGTTATGCAGCCAATGCAAATGGCTTGCTCCATGTTACATTTTTCCAAGGCCACTATATCGTGACCTTCGTTCAAAAATAAATCCCTGATATGTTTTTTACTCTGCCAGATGTGAGTCGTGTTGCTCTAAGACAATTTATACGTCCTTACTTTTAACCACGCGTAAAAAAACATTTTGAACGGCGTCAAAAATGATTTTGAACGCGTTAAGAATTGTAATGTGACACGTAAATTATGTCTTAGCTGGCAGCCAATTGAAACCAGCGTTACAATTTGTGTATTCATTGAACAAACGAACGTGTATGTTCGACTTACCGACTGATTGATATAAATCCAAAACCCTATTTTTCTGTTAACGTATGCCACATTTATCATTTATTTTGGCATTTTTGATGATTTTGAAAAAAACTAAAGTTAGCCTAAAGAATTTGTTACAGACGCCTTTAAGAATTTGTTACAGACGCCAACCACCAACCGCTAACCGCCGTCAAAAACGGAGACCGCCACAATATGTCACCACTTTTTTGTGGTGACATAATAAAGTTAACATAGCTACCTGTAATTAATTGGATTTAAACTTTTGAAACTTCGAAAATTGAGATAATAATCAGTGCGTTTTGAAATGAAAATCGCAATTTATAGACCAAAGGCCTTTTCACGCGCTCGTCGCAAGACTTGCGTTTGCGTCTCCGCTGCGTTTGCGAATCGACAATTTGCGCCCCGATCTAACTTTGCTATTTTTTAACATAATTACATGAATCTTTTAGATAATAAAGATCAATATCTTAGTTCATCCCGGTCACTGTCACATTAAATGAAGTAAAACATTACGAATCTCCTATTTGAAGTATTCTCGGCATTAGATCCTTCAGAGATGTTAATACAGCTGTGTCAAATTTTATCATGATATTGGCAGGGAGACCTGACATTTTAAAAGCATGGTACAATTTATGTGCTACGGGCTTGCATGCTGAGTGACGGTGGCGGAAAAACCCAGTGGAGAAAAAGGTGCGTTTTCAGAGAAAACGTGACCCGGAGTGACAAGTTTTTCATTGACCTAATGCACTGTAATAATATTAGGCCTATTGAATATGACAAAAATGAATAACAATAATCAGCCATAATTAATATGGCATCAAATACATGTGGAAAGACTTTAGGCTGTCAAAAATGCAATAGCTAGACAATTTTTGAAATGACGTTAAAAGTTGAATTGTCCAAGCAAAACCTGCATTTTATTGACAGTGGAGTGTTTTTGAATAAAGTCTATCAAAATCATAAAATTAGGAATTTCGTTAGAATATTTTTTCCATGTTGGAAATTGTCTCCAGAATAAAATATGAAAATTTCAATAAGAATGGTTGTTCTATTGCAAATATAGAGTAAAAAAACGACTGCATCATACAACCTGTCCGGGGTACTAAACACAAGTATTTGATCGAATGGGTATTTATTATCCAACACTTTTTAAGGAAAAATAAGTCGATTGCGAAAAAATCAGTTTTGCTTTTTCAGATGCACGTTCATCTCGGAGATCATTTTAAGATTAAAATGTTGCTGTTTCAGTGTAATAAGCATTTACTCTATTTTTAAGAATATCTAACTTTAGACCCTTGATAGCAAGTTGCTACTACAGGCCAGCTGGGTTCGATTCCCACTAGGGGCATCGGATTTAGCACACTTTCTTTCAATTTCTTTATCTGGCTTGTTGGACCTATGCTCGCGATAGTTAGTTAGTTATTCCCATGGGGCGCCCTCGGGTCATTACACATTACAATGCACCCATATGTTTATTTATGGATCTGTCATTCGTCTAGTCATAAAAAAAAGGCGGAATTGTAGAAATGTTAATAATTTGAGCTATTTTGAGATTTAAAATCTTTAAAATAGAACCCTTCAATGACTGTATTATGTCCCACGTAGGTGGGTAGGTGGGTATGAGGTATGAGGTTTTTTATACAAAGCCCCTAAAAACCACACTCAAAATCTTTATCAGTTTCTTCACTATGTAAACAACACGACAATTATGCTTATATTATGGTTGACCTTGTTATTAACATCTTTTAAGGATAAGTAAAATTGTTCAACATGATAAGACGATCTGCATTATAATGCTAAATGTGACTAAAACATGGTTCGAATAAAAAACAATGAAGTACTACATCTAGTATATAAATAGTGAGTGAAAAGTGGAAGTACGTTTATATTTTCTGCTATTATTAGTTATCTAGGATCCAGGACTCATTCTCTAATATTGTAGCAAGGAGTTCAAACAGCCGTCAATTGGGATATTCAAAACAAACAGATATCCAAACTAAGAAATGGATGAAACGTTCATGCGAAATGTAACTCAGAAATGTGATCATTTTGAAAATGATCCCGAGACTATCAAATCATGGTTCAATGAAATTGAGAAATTTACATTAGATTTAACACAAAAATGCTCCCTAATTGACACAAAAGCTAGAGATGTTGAACTAAAACACACCAATACGGAACATATGGGCGAGGAGGATGAACTCGATCATTCAAATATTGACGACAAGGCACATATAGAAGAATTAGGAAAAGCAAAAGAAGTTAGTCGTTTAAAAGGTAAAACTCTTAAGGAACATGACCATAGACAATGATAATATGATAGTAAAGTCATAGTAAAGGTAGACATTGATTCACAAAGGGCATATTCTTGGTAGCCTACTGTTCAATCTAGCCTTTTTATTCCAAAATAAAAGCACATTTACATTTAACACTGAACTCTTGTGATACTATTGTACAACTGAAATTCCATTATTTTATGGAATCCGTGGTTAGCTAGCATACATATCATATACATATTTATCATAGGTTTTTACAATGTATAAGATACTTTTTTATGTTTTACCTTTTAGGATGGGGCAAGATGGATTTTTCAGAGCAGTGGCATATGGACAAAGCGCTGGAAGTGATCCAAGAAAATATAGGTTACACTGGTACGTGTTTTGAGTGTTTTCCCAAAAGTATGCAAGGGAATAGTTGTTCCTCTTTTAAGGAGTTTAAAGGAGTATTATATTGGGAAATTATTGAGAATTTCTGCGTGACTTTCAATTTCAATGTTGCCCTTTTTCACAAATTAAGGAGTCAGTCAGAGTATTAGGTCAATTAACATCTATGACATGGTTTCTTTACCGATAACTATGATTTATCCCCAACCTACTCTCCTTGTTATTAGGTTAATCAGAATAAACAGTTACTTTAATTTGCTGTTATCTTTTTTAGGGGGAAGGGGATGGGTTTCGGAGTAAAGGGGGCTACTGATGAATTGTTAACTTTTTATCAATTGAAAAACTCAAGTGAAAGGCAAATCAACAAAGTAAATTTTCAAAGTTAATTATATGGGGGAGGGGTTGATAACGAATCATAAATATGAACATTGAACAATGAATACCATTACATTATGTGAAAACTATTGGAACGTTCATTTACAGGTGCGAAGGTTGGATGTCGCTTGGGTTTCATTCCAAGTAGTGGGCTTGTGATATCCTGTCTCGGAGAATTGCTGGCACGAATCATCAATCCACACTCAGCATTATTTTATGGAAATCCAAGTATGTATAGGATATCCTATTTATTTCAGCGATATCATTTTTATCCACGATTTGATGTCAATATACTGGAGACGAATGAGCATGCTCATTGGTAGCATACAATGCATCCAAAATTCAACAATGGTCAAGGATCACAGGTTTGTCAGCTTGAAGTTTAAAGCTCACATCTGCATTTAAACTCACATATTTTCTACTCTTGCAACAAATGATTGACCATCATTGCATGCTCAGTATATGACCACTTATACCCAAAGGTGCAGTTCAGCTAGAAGAGGAGATGGTCAGGTGGTTGGTAGAGTTTGTTGGTATGCCCACATCTAGCCAAGGGGCCCTAGTGTCTGGGGCTTCTATTGCTTCAATTATGGCAATACGTACTGCAGTTCAAGCTAAACATTTAAAGGCCAGGGACTATCACAGGTACGTACATGAGGGGCACATGTATGATGCTTTAATATGATCATAGCTTTGTTGGTTTTCTCTAAAGAGTAGTAAAGAGCAAAGATGAGATGTGTGTAATTAGGGTTCAGTGGGTGATCCAGCAATTCACAAGGGGGGGGGGGCAAAAGTCTGGAAAAAATTGGGCCCCTAAAACCAAAAATTTGGCCCTAATTTTGAAAAATTAAGGCCCATATTTTGATAAATTGGCCCAAAAAGGCTTTAAATGCAAAATTATGCCCAAAAAGGCCTATTTTGAGGCTATGCAATCTTTTGGGGCCCAAAAACTAAACCAAATTTCTTGGCCCACTAAAGGGGGAGGAGGGGGGGGGGGCATGTCCCCCCGGATCCGCCACTGGAGTTGGTACCTATTTCATAGATGTGGGAGTTGTCGCATTATTTCATAAAATCTTCAAATACTTTTAATATGAATAAGTCAGATCCTTTCTCAAACAACAATCTTTTAGATATTCGATGGATTGGAAGGGGGACTGTAAGGGCATGTTCAGTGATATTTCTTTAAAATATTGTACATTCAATAGAGGGCCAATAATCCCTTGCCTTAGGCCAGGTCCATGTATTATGTATCTGGTTTCAATAAAGAAACCATAAAAGCTAAACATTCTATACACTTTATTGCCACTTAAACGATGCCTTATACTTTGTTGCTACTTTAACTAGACATGTGGTTTACATTACTCAACATACTCATTGCCTTCTTGTACTTTTTTGCCACTTTAATTAGACATGTGGTTTACATTACTCAACATGCTCATTGCCTTCTTGGGACTTTTTTTGCAACTTTGATTAAACAGGTGGTTTACATTACTCAACATGCTCATTGCCTTCTTGGGACTTTTTTGCCACTTTAATTAAACAGGTGGTTTACATTACTCAACATACTCATCGCTGTCTTGTACTATTACTCAACATACTCATCGCCTTCTTGTACTTTGTTGCCACTTTAATTAGACAGGTGGTTTACATTACTCAACATACTCATCACCTTCTTGTACTTTGTTGCCACTTTAATTAGACAGGTGGTTTACATTACTCAACATACTCCTCGCCTTCTTGTACTTTTTGCCACTTTAATTAGACAGGTGGTTTACATTACTCAACATACTCATCACCTTCTTGTACTTTGTTGCCACTTTAATTAGACAGGTGGTTTACATTACTCAACATACTCATCACCTTCTTGTACTTTGTTGCCACTTTAATTAGACAGGTGGTTTACATTACTCAACATACTCCTCGCCTTCTTGTACTTTTTGCCACTTTAATTAGACAGGTGGTTTACATTACTCAACATACTCATCACCTTCTTGTACTTTGTTGCCACTTTAATTAGACAGGTGGTTTACATTACTCAACATACTCATCACCTTCTTGTACTTTGTTGCCACTTTAATTAGACAGGTGGTTTACATTACTCAACATACTCATCACCTTCTTGTACTTTGTTGCCACTTTAATTAGACAGGTGGTTTACATTACTCAACATACCCATCACTGCATCCTAAAGGCTCTCAAAATCTGCGGGATGGCTGAATGTGAGGTGAGAACTGTGAAGCATGACTGTGGAACACGAATGGACCCTGAACATCTTGAAACCTCTCTCAAGGAAGACATGCAGGTAACTCTGGTTACTAGTATACATGTCTATCCCATTTAAAGAGGCATTGTCTGTTCTTAGTTACCACTCTGTTCTTAGTTACCGCTTTAACTTGTTTAAGAGAAGACCGACAGTGCACAATTGTCAACAGTTACCAGAGATAACACAGGGTTTATTCTATTAGGGGATGGGGTAAATAAAGAACTCGCTTCAAAAAGTTTAAAAATTTGGTTTTCAAAAATGTGACATTCCATGGACAGCAAATGAACATTTAACTTTTAGCAGCATTTGGACACTATCCCCTTTGAATGTTTTTCTTTCAGACTGGTCTTCATCCATTTATGATAACTGCTACTTTGGGTAATGTAGACATTGGTGCTATAGATCCATTAGATGCTATAGCAAGTGTTGCTAAGCGACATGACACATGGTTCCACGTTGATGCAGCCTATGGAGGATTTTACATGTTTTCTAAAGAAGTTAGGCAGAAATCTAAAGGTAGTTAATGTACTCCTATTTGTTCTTAACATCCTAAAATCTTATTGCAAGGAAAACAAACATTTTAACATTCATTTTTTCCCATTTTGAAGAATTTGCACTATTTTCCTGTAACAGTTATACCGCAAACTACTGCACTTTCCTCAACATCTGAGATTTTCTTCAAAATATTATCTGGCAGACAATTGATTACTACAAAGAGATTTAACTATTATTTTGTATTTTAGTCCAACATGCTATTACAGTGAAACCTGTAAAGTGGAATACTTCTAGATGTAAAACCTCTGTTAGTGGAACACTTTTCAGAGTCCTAAGACCAAAATACATAATGTTAAATGAACCACTATTAGTTGGACACCTCCCAACTGGAACACCTTTTAGAGGTACCAAAGGTGTTCCATTTAGACAGGTTTTACTGTATATTATTTTTTGTCTTTATGTCACCACTTTTGTCAATATGGTCTCCATTTTCATGATGGTGGTTGGTGTCCGGTGTTTTTAACAACTGGAAGGTGGTAACATTTTGCATGTTAATGCCTTGTCATGTATTGAACTACTCAAATGCGTTTTCCTATTCAGGTGTTGAGCTGGCTGATTCATTGATAATAAGTCCTCACAAGGGACTGAATCTTCCCTGGGGTTCCAGCGCATTATTGGTGAAACACGGGCCCTACCTACATGCTGCCATGACCCTAGACACTCAAGGGAACTACCTCGCAGACACTCAACATGATCATTACAGCCCTAGTGAATATTCCCTGGAGTTGAGCCGTCCATTCCGTGCTCTTCCACTATGGCTAACCCTGAGATTATTAGGGATTTCTCATTTTGAGGATTGCATTAGAGAAAAGATGGCGCTAACAATGTTCTGTTACGATGAATTGAAGAAAATTCCAGATGTTAAAGTTGGACCTGTGCCAGAACTTTCAATTGTTGCATTTCAGTTGAAGTCTAAGGATAATAAAAAACTTGATGAACTACTGACAAAAATAAATCAAGATGGCCGACTATATTTGTCCTCTACCAAAATTGATGGGGAATTGTACATTAGGCTGAGTTTTAACTCAATGTCAACTCATACAACTCATGCTAAAAAGGCTTTGCAAATCATCAAAGAATTTCTGATGTTGATCTTGATATAAAACTTTTAATTAGAAGTACAAGGGGTGAAGTATGATTACAATATGCATGGGATCAATTACTCATTCATGAACACTCACTTAAAGAGCCAGTATAGTAGTTATGTAATTTAAAAGACATATTTAAAAATGTCTGAACGATGTCCAGTCAATAAAGTTACAGAGGAGAATATATACAGGGTGTCTAGGAAATAAAGTTTTAAAGTAGAAATGTTAAGATGTAGAGGGTGTCCCGGATCAGGAAAGTTACAGAGGAAGAATGTTTATCAGTGAATCAGTGAATTTCTGCGGCGAGCGTAGGAAAACTACGGCCGTCTTGCGGTCTCCGTACGGCGTATCTAATTTTTTACAGGCCGCAGCAGGGTAGCCGTAGAAATTAAAACTCGGAGTTATAATATTTGTTCATTTCTGTGGTCGCCGTAGAACGGTCCCGCGTCGGGCTTACGTTAACCGGGCGGACCGGGCTTACGGAAACGGTTTTTCAGGTCAGGGTTGCTGTCATATCTTTGCTGTGAACACAATTGCAACGCAATAGGCCTTTTCATCAACAAAGCCGTAGAATATGTTAGACGTGATGATCTTCAGATCAACCACGACTCATGTGAATCCCTGACCATCCAGCTTACCAACTCAAAAAATAAAAACATCCTAATCTCAATTATATATAAACCTCCTAACACTAATCAAGAGGAATTCAATACTGATCTTCAAGCACTTCTTGATACTATCTCCAAGGAAAAAAAAACAGTGTATATTCTTGGTGATTTTAATTGTGACCTTTTAAAAGCAGAAAGCAACCATGCTACTCAGGATTTTTTAAATCTATTTTACTCACATAACCTTATACCACTTATCTATAGACCAACCAGAATAACCAGAAACACTGCGACTCTAATTGACAATATATTTACAAATGCTCCAAGTATTTCTAGAGCAGGTATTATTCTTGAAGACATATCTGATCACTTTCCAATATACGCCCTTACTGAAATGCAAGCCCAAAAAATTAAAACGTCCACAGTTTCATTCAGGCAATTTAATAACACCAATAAATCAAGCTTCAAAGAACAAGTCAAAACTATGATATGGCATAATATTGAAAATACTAACGATGTAAATGAAGCTTATTCCAATTTTGATAAAGAACTTTCAATCATATTCAATCAATGTTTTCCTATAAAAACATTCAAATCTTCATATTACTTTGACCCCTCACGCCCATGGCTTTCAACTGCAATACTGACATCAGCGAAACGTAAGAATA